AGTCTCAGGTGGATGGTTTGTTTGGTACACAAGATCAGGATGATACAGTGGAGGGAGATCAGCCCCAGCACGCAGAGGATAGGCCTCAATGGAACAGGTGGGTAACGAGGTGTGGTACTGACAACCATCTAGTGGATCGTCGTGGTGGTCGTTGAGACTATTATGTACTTCTATGGTTATTATGTATCATTGTGGACTATTTCTCATTTCATGATGTATTATGTTACTATTATATATCGATGGTGAGACTATTACGTATTATGTTATTATTTTCATGTATAGTGCTATTGTCTAAAATGAAAACTTTAACTATAAAAACCTCAAACAACAACAACTATGACAATTAATAAAAGTTCCAACAACAACAACTTCTGCATGGAAATTCGAAAGTTTCAAACAACTACTTGATAAAAGTTCCACCAAACTACATACTACGTCTATTACCCCTACTTCCTCTTCTACCACATCCCCCACGTCGTTGGCCACCACTTCCTCTTCGCTGGCTCCCACTGCCACTTGCTTGGCCACCACAAGTTGATGCATTATGTCCATATTCGTTACAGTTCCTACACACTTGTTGCTATACAACCTCTCTTGGCCAATCCATCTCGTTGTGAATTCTTGTTGATCATGGCCTCCCCGGCTTCCTAATCATGTGCACATTAGGATGGAGAGTAGGGCCATTGTGCTTCTTCCAACCCTTAGGTTCACCAAGAGGTGTGAAACTTGTCCCATAACAAGCCAATATTGTTTCAAGCTTGTAGATGTCATTTACAAACCTATACGGGTTAGCCCCCATTCGGTTGCAAGCTGCAATGGCATGAGAGCAAGGAATTTTATTTCCTTGGAATTTCCAACAAGTGCAAAATGCCGCCCGATTGTTGTTGTCGAAGTGCATTGTGAGCGTGTTCGAACCCGTAATGTTGAAGTTGTTGGGAGGAGTCTGAACTAGATAGATGTCTTGACGTCGATCAACACCTGTCACGGGGTGTCCAACTGACTTTTGTGCCCACGGCTTCATCAGTTCTTCGCATGGTTTGGTGTATTGTGAATGACCACTTATTATTTGTGCTGCTGTCTCCAACCTCATCTTATCGAATTTCTCCAATAATTCCTAATAAGTATGTTGCACAAGAGAAGCTATAGGAAGTGAACGAATACCTTTGAAAACACCATTATTGCTCTCTGCCATGTTGGATGTCAGGATAGACCATCGACTCCCCCCATTAAATTTATCATGTGCTAAACTCCAACGAAGTTGATTTTGGTCCACCCAGTTATCAGAAGAAATATTTCTATCAGCGCCCATCTTCTTAAATTTCTCAACTTGAAGATCGAACTTCTCAAGCATTTTCTCGGCTAACACAATAAATAATGACACGAATTAGATATAGCTATTACAAAATGAAATAAAAATAAATAATACATAACAATAAATAACCATAACGATAAAGGTTTATTGACTCGAAAAAGTTGATTATACATAATCCTGCTTTTTGCTTGCATAGTGTCACATGCACCACCTCCACTCTCCCAACCTCTTCCGATGTCATTCATGGCTTCATAGAGTCCTGCATGTCTATCTGAGATGATGCAGACATCATTTCGATCGGTCAAACCTTGAACGTGTCTTATGAACCATAGCCAACTATCAGTATTCTCGCTCTCCACCATGGCAAATGCAATTGGAAAAATCTTCTTCCGACCATCAAATGAGCTCGCCATGAGTAGCACTCTTTTATACTTTCCAGTAAGAAAGTTCCATCAACAACCATGACTCCTGGATAATTCTTGATTCTATCTATACAAGGTCCATAAGCCCAGAATACTCGCTGAAGGATCAAATGACCTGGTTGCGATGAAGGAACTTTTTCCCAATCAATCAATGATGTTGGCATTTTTCTCTTTACCACCCACAAGAGTGTTTGCAAATAATCGTAGGATTCTTCCCAATTTCCATGCAACTTCTCCAATGCTCTTTGTTTCTCATACCAAGCCTTCTTGTAAGTAACTTGCATATTAAACTTATCTTTCAACTCTGTCTGCACAGTTAGAACACTCAGATTTGGTTGGGCACGTATCAAATGCCTCACGGACTCAAATATAACGTCGACATCAAGATGGAGATGATCAGTCGGTTGAGTCATATTGCTACTAGAATGCATCAACTCGACCTTTCTCATAGTTTATTCACTTCCAACAACTAGACATCCAAACCGCACCATCCAAGCACAATTATCATCCTTGTACTTCAAGCATCTGACCTTCCAGATTGAAGGTGATGGCTCAACCACGACATGCTGAAAGTTGCGTTGTAGTGGGTAGTATTTAATCACCACCTATGCAGCTTGTTTCGAGTGAAATATCTGCTCCTTGTAGAATTCTCCTTCAAAACCAGCAGCAATATGCATTGAAATTACGCCATATGAATCAACATATGATAATTCGTCGTCCTCTTCATTACCCTGCAAGTAAAAATATGGAGGATAATTAGGCTGATCTTCTTCCCCTTCTTCCTCCTCCTCCTCCTCCTCCTCATCTTCATGCTCTTCATCATCATAGTCATGATCAGATGGCACACTCCAAGTGTCATCTTCTTCCTCTCCAGCCTGATCCTCACTAATCTCAACATGTATCTTAGCACCCAAACAATAAGGGTTTTGTGCCATAAAATCGAAAATCACATTCAAGCTATCATCATCCACAATAGGCATCGCATAATGAAATATAACACCATTATGCCATTCTAGAAGACAGTAAGTGAAACTTGTGATTATATCACTATCTTGTACTGCTTCGTCTTTACGTCGTATCCTCGAAATTAGATTCTCACAAAATTGGTGATATGTCACACTAGATGGAACTGTCAACTGAAAACTTCTACCACCAACGAAATGGACGCCTAAATTATCCTCTACTTTCTCTGATTTTCACCGAACGACTAGTTCAAAATAAAAAACAAATTCACTAATTAACTAAACAAAATCATAATAGCATTTTAATAATATAATTAAAAAATAAATGTGTTTCTTACCTATTAGCCATCTTTGCAGCAACCAGCAAGGCTCCTCTCGTTTAGCTTCATAACATCGGTTTTTGGTGGTGAGTAACTAAAAGAAAGTGGCTTCTGTTATATGGTGTTGGAGTGGGTGGGCAAGCGAGCGAACTCGCCCAGACTGGAGCGCCTCCACTGGTCAATGATTTCGATAATCTTTGCAGACCCAGCCACCAAACGCGCCTCACTCTCTGTCGGGGTCACCGTTAGAAGAAATTAAAAAAGGGGCCTCTGCCTCAGACTCAGGCGGGGCCGCCATTTTTTTAAAAACAGCCAACAAAGTGAAGAGCAGATCCCGTCGGTAACCTTGTGGTTAATAACTATGCATAACCCGATCAGAATCTGCCACATCAGCGCCTATTCTCTCTCCTAAAAAGCCTTTAATTTCCCCCCTTAATTTTAATGGATGATTTCTCATTTTTAAGTCAATTTAATTTTTTTGCACAGTTAGATCAGATTAATTGTGCTTTTCAAAATAATATCCACTTTGATATATTTTTGGAACAAAAAAATTGAGCCATTTTTTACCAGTCTATACCATATGATATTGACTGGTATTGAAATAAGAGCATACATATGGTATGAAAAGCGTACCATGATGGTATGAACAAAACAAGACTGTAGGATGGTTGAATACATGATAGTAGAAGTATATTAACGGTCATTTACGACTTTTAACATTGTGTACCACAAGATACCACCCCGTACCAAGGTGTATTGTATGGTAGTTTTTGGTCTTTTATTTTGTTCACTCAGAAATTATATAGATCCAATAGATCATGAAGAACTCGTTCCTTCTGTGGAAAAATTTTCAAAAAAAAATTAAAAACGAAGAAGATACCATATGGTATGCAGTTGGTACCGAGAGCCCTGAAATTTATTTTTCTAAAAAAATATTGAAAATGGAACTCATTTTGTAGAGCACAACGAACTCGTTCCATCTGTGAAAAAAAAAAAAAGAAATCCGAGTTAAAACGAAGAAGATATGAGCCGATTAAGAAAACAAGGGTGAAATTAAAAGACCTTTAATTCTCCACCGTTAAATATGGATTTTTTGAATGAAAGGTCTAGATTTAGTTATATCTTGAGCCAACAAAGCGGCTCCAATTGAGTCTCCGACGATCTCGCCGATTGGCTCAAGATAGGGTGCATAACTATGAGTAACAAAATCTGGATCATTTTTTTAAGTGGTTGCAGATCTAAGGGTGGAGAATTAAAAGAATTTATTTTTTATAATTTTCTTGATTGGATCATATCTTCTTCATTCTAACTCGGATTTCAATTTTTTTTTGTACAGATGAAACGAGTTTGTTGTGCTCTATATAATGATATCCATTTTCAATATTTTTTGAGAATTTTTTTCATACCTCTCGTTACCAACTCCATACCATATGGTATCTCTTTCGTTTTTTAGTCGTTTTCGTAATTTTTGCACAGAAGGAACGATTTAATCATGATCTATTGGATTTCAAAATTTTCTGGGTGAAAAAATTTCATACCTCTCGTTACCAACTCCATACCATACTATACCACCCTGATATGGGGTTGTATTTTTCATACCATATGGTATGCTCTTATTTAATACCAGTCAATACCATATGGTACAATCAATACCATATGGTATAGACTAGTAATAACTGAGAAATTTTTTTGTTCTAAAAATTATCAAAGTGGATATCATTTTGAAGAACACAATTAATATGATCTAACTGTGCAAAAAAAATTAAATTTCGAGTTAAAACGAGTGAGAAATCGTTCGTGAAAGATTAAGGGAAGGAAAATTAAAAAATTTTCGAGGAAAAACAAGAAGGCGCTAATGTACGATTTCTTATTGTGTTATACATGAGGATATAGCACCACAAGATTATTCACTGGATTAGTCCATTTTTTTTATTTTAGTACTAGCATTGAGTTGGTCTAACGCTGGCCTGCTGCTGCGTCTCTGGAACCATCTTCGGCTGCGCCACTGCTCTAACCTAAACCTCGATTCTAGTAGAAGCCTCTAGAACCCTATCCTTCGTTGCCTTCCCTTCCCTTCCCTCTATTTAAAACCTCTTTCTCACTCAAATCTTCAAAAGGCCACTGAATCTCTTTCCCTTCTCATCCTTCCTGAATTCCCCCAATTCTCTTTGCGCGATTTCTCTTTCTACCTTCCCCAAGCTGCATCCAATGGAAGACGACTTCGACCTCCCCACTGCCGGCGACGACATGATGAACGAAGACCTCGATCTCGGCGATGACGCTCCCGCTCTCAAAGTCGGCGAGGAGAAGGAGATCGGAAGTCAAGGCTTGAAAAAGAAGCTCGTAAAGGCAGGTGAAGGCTGGGACACTCCCGATAATGGCGATGAGGTGGAAGGTAATTTATCTTCCATGCCCTTTTGACTATGGGTTCGCTGGTGTTTCCTCAGATTTTTTTGGGATCTTACGAGTTCCTGCCTTTCGGTTCTCGATGCAGTTCACTACACGGGGACATTGCTGGACGGGACCAAGTTCGATTCTAGTCGGGATAGGGGGACGCCTTTCAAATTTACCCTTGGTCAAGGTAAGGGTTCCGTTCGATGCAATGTGTATGATCTCTGGATTCTACTTCTCTGTTAAATCCTGGTTTGGAGATTCTGTGGTTAGCATGATTAATCTGCTGTTAAGTCGTTACACGCCCGCGCGGAGAGATTGCAAATTCATCAGCATTTTTTTCAAAGGTAGAAACGCCACCTGTGATGCTAGATGCACAGGACATATGTATGATCAGCGACTTGAGTGTATTTTGCTAGGTTTAACTTGAAGCTGGATAGGTTGAATGGTTGCTATGTGGAACCACCATTCCTTGTTTTTGAAAGGTTGGTTCTTCAATTGGCTATCTGAAGCCTGTTTGGTGATCCCGTTTTTCCCATCTCGGTCTTCTTTGCAGGACAAGTAATTAAAGGATGGGACGTGGGGATCAAGACGATGAAGAAAGGAGAAAATGCAGTTTTCACAATTCCTGCCGATCTGGCTTATGGTGCTTCAGGCTCCCCACCGACTATTCCCCCAAATGCCACCCTTCAATTTGATGTTGAATTGCTCTCTTGGAGTAGCGTCAAGGACATCTGCAAGGACGGTGGAATATTCAAGAAGATCGTTGTTGAAGGAGAGAAATGGGAAAACCCCAAGGACCTGGACGAAGTGTTTGGTAATGCTAGTTTCATGCCGTTACCACGATTTATTGTTATTAGGAAAGGTTATTTGTTACTCATATTCCACCTCTTCAATTTTGACTTGTTACTCTGCAGTGAAATATGAAGTTCAGCTCGAGAATGGTACTTTTGTTGCCAAGTCTGATGGAGTAGAGTTTACTGTCCAGGAAGGTAAATATAAAAAAACGATGAGCTCTGTGGTCTTCCGCTCCTTTTAAGAAGCCAGACTAGTCTTCTGAGGTGGAATTGTTTCGACTCTGTAGGTCACTTCTGTCCTGCTCTGGCAAAGGCTGTGAAGACGATGAAAAAGGGAGAGAAAGTTGTTCTTACCGTGAAGCCGCAATGTAAGTAGCTTGACTTGAATTTCTCCCCTGCGCTAATCAATAAAAGGAAATATAGCTCCTTTGATTGACTGTGCATGCATTCTTTCGTAGATGGATTTGGAGAAAGTGGGAAGTCGGCATCTGCTGATGGAGGTGCTGTCCCCCCTAATGCGACGTTGCAGATAACCCTTGAGCTGGTTTCATGGAAGACTGTATCTTCCGTAACTGATGACAAGAAGGTCATCAAGAAAATAGTGAAGGAAGGAGAGGGATATGAGAAGCCTAATGATGGCTCCGTTGTTCAATGTTAGTACAATTTCTGTGTTTAAGCTTTAGGTTATAGGGTCTGCAGTATGATCTTGTTGTGTGGGCCTAACTGACCTTTATCAACTTCTGTGCAGTGAAATTGATTGGGAAGTTGCAAGATGGTACAGTGTTTCTGAAGAAAGGTCATGAGGATGGTCAATTGTTTGAGTTTAAAACTGATGAAGGTAAGCGAAAGTGCTGTGCTTCACAATTGTATCTCTGGTTGTTGTGTATTAGGTGTTCCAATTGTAAATTTGTTTGGCAGAGCAAGTGATTGATGGGCTGGATAGAGCTGTGATGACAATGAAGAAAGGTGAGGTGGCTCTGCTGACCATTGCCCCAGAGTACGCATTTGGGACCTCCGAATCAAAACAGGATTTGTCTGTCGTGCCTCCCAACTCAACCCTCCACTATGAGGTTGAATTGGTTTCATTTGTCAAGGAGAAGGAATCCTGGGACATGAACACACAGGAGAAAATTGAAGCTGCCGGCAAAAAGAAGGAAGAAGGAAATGTACTTTTCAAGGCTGGTAAATATGTAAGGGCCTCTAAGAGATATGAGAAGGTAAAATTCTTTTGCTCAACCGTGGTCCCTCGTTCTACTGTTCATCCGTGTATGTGTGGCTTAAATCTTCCTCTTGCACTTTTGACTTGCAGGCAGTAAAATTTGTAGAATATGACACATCCTTCAGTGACGAGGAGAAGAAGCAATCTAAGGCACTGAAAGTTGCTTGCAATTTGAATGATGCAGCTTGCAAGCTGAAACTGAAAGATTATAAAGCAGCAGAGAAGTTATGCAGCAAGGTATGCCAAATCTCCTCTTAACCATATCGCTTCTTTATGCCGAAGCAGAAAGCGTTGTGTCCGTAATTACTGATTGTGTGCTGCTGCAGGTGCTGGAAATGGATAGCCGCAATGTAAAAGCTCTGTATAGGAGAGCCCAGGCCTACATCCAGTTGGCGGATCTGGAGCTGGCAGAGTTTGACATCAAGAAAGCTCTTGAGATCGATCCGAATAACAGGTAGATTCCCAAGCAATAATCACTTGTTAGAATAAGATCTTCCTTAGCTACTTGGGGTTGGTGTGTACTTGTTTCAACCAATGCTGAATAGGTACCGCGTAATATGTTCTGTTGTGGCATTGGAACAGGGACGTGAAGCTGGAGTACAGGACTTTGAAGGAGAAGATGAGAGAGTACAATAAGAAGGATGCCAAATTCTATGGGAATATGTTCGCCAAGATGAATAAGATGGGCCCTCTAGATTCCAATGTAAGTGGGGCTCCTTGCCTGCCCTCTGTTAGTCCGGTTTTGTATCGCCATTGATGAATGATTACGTATGTCCCCTGTTTCTTTTGGCAGAAGGAGGTGCCAATGAGCGTGGACAGCAAAGCATAAGAAGGGAAAGAAGCAGATTGTGGATGAGGATGGGAAATTGGGAATCATTGAGAGCTTGTACTGCTGCTATTGTACCAATCTTTGTTTGGGATTGTTGGTTGCTTTTGCTTTCTTGTGTTTTCTCCCCTTCTCTCCTGTTTGTGTCCCCTTTCGCCTCTTGATGGGTAGCTCAATTAGAAACTGGTAGAGACTTGTTTTGGCTTGGTGTAATGGACAACTACTTAAGAAATCCTAATTCAACAATAAGCACCAGTTTTTTCTTTGACGTCTCAGAAGCGACGTATCTGTAGCAAATGATGTGTCCGATTATACATTCAAATAATAATTCAAGGGCAGGACGTCACAGAAGCAAAAATTAGAGCGAGGTTATTGTTATAAAAAGGTCAAAATACACTTGTGTAGTCAAAATTTTGACAGTTTTGCCAAATATAGCCACTTTTGACGAAATACCAAAAATAGTCACTTTCGTCCAATTCTTTAACGGTGTCAAGTAACGGGCTGACTGGACTGACGACATTGCTGAGTTGGCAACCATTAGTCAATTAAAAATGTGAGGTGAAAACTAAAAATAAATAAAATAAATAATTTTTTATTTTCTCTCTCCATCTCTTTTGTTCCCATCCCTTCCTAGGGGTGTTCAAATGGTTACCATGGTTATAACCAAATCAAATAAGGCTAAATTCCATTAACCATGGAATACAATATCATAACCAAACCGTCCAAACTAATACAACAATCAAATTAACCAAACTAAAGTTTAATCGGTTTGGTTAATTGGTTAACCAGATTAACCAATATAAAATCACATTATCATTGACGATGAAAATTTTCCGGTTAATGCAACAATTCGCAATTTATATAATGAATAAAACATAACAATCAACACGTAGTTATAGTTGACCCTTAACAAAAATACATGCAACTAAGACAATTATCTTACGATTAGTATAGAAGTATTCACCTAACAAAAATTTATGACAATGGTATGGGTTAATGAATTGTTGTGTTTGTGTAAATTGACTTAGTCTCTAAGCAATTATCATAGGCTGGAACTGACCTTCCTTTCAAGTTTTCGTCCGTCATAATGTATGAAATTTATCTAAATTAGGCGTCCATATGTTGTGGTCTACATTTTACATATACAAATATACACTATATGAGCAATATTGAGCTTTATATTTTATGAGTCTAAAAGGGATGAACGTTAACTCTTGAGTGGTTATGCAAAGTATTAAGTATGTGTATATAATATATGTTAGATATATGACTAATTACTTAACTGGTTAATTTGGTTTGATTGGTTAGGAGTGTCTGAAACTAAACCAAACCACCTAAACCAAACAAGCTAAAAACTTTAACCAAACCAAACCAATTATCCAAATTAACCAAACCAAATTATCCAAATATTACTGGTTAAAACGGTTACCATGGTAACCAAACCGTTTGAACACCCCTATCCCTTCCCCAACCGAAACTCACGTTTAATTTGATTGGGATTTTCTGATGTTGAACCCTCCCGATTCTTTATTCTTCCCCATCTATCGATTCTTCCACCTCTCTTCTTCCCCATCTCTCGATTCTTCCATCACCGCTGGAGAATCGCCATTTACAGAATCTCCGAACTCGCCATTAAGATCGAGGATGATACTCGAGCCGAGGGAGAAGGAAAGGATTCTGCTTCTGTCTTACACCTTCCAGAGTTCCCATTCCACGGCTGGTGCTCCCTCGGGCCAATCAATCGACGGGCATCAACTTCCTCCCGTCGCTGCAAATCTGGGTTTCGGAAGATGGATCTGGAATCTGGGTTTCAATTGAGAAGATGAAGTCAGGGGAAAGAAGATGAAATCTGGGTTTCAATTGGAGAAGATGAAGTTAAATCTGGGTTTCAATCTCTCTCCGTCCTCCGATCTTCCCCTTTCTTTCCCTCCGATCTTCCCCTCACACCCACCATTGTCACGCAAATATTTTTTTCTATCTCCCATCTCTCTTCCTTCCCCTTCCCCAGCGCAATCTCTCTCCCATCTCTTGTTCATCTCCTTCCCATCTTCCGCCTCAATCCATCATTCCCTTCCAAATGAAAAATCCAGAACAAGCTAAAACAACCCAGAACCGCAGCTCCACTATCGATCGATGTTGACGGTGGCGATGATTTGGGGATTAGGGATTTGGTGGCTCCATGCACTGAGGTTTAAATCCTTAATTCCAGTCGACTACTCTTTCCTCCCTACGAATCAACTACTCCTTCCTCCATTTCCATTGCTCCATGCACCGAGATTAAATCCTTCTAAATTCTAATTGACTGTTTCCCTCTCCCAAGATCTCTCCCTCCAGAACCGCCGATTTGATCTAGAAGAGAACAATCGATTTTGGGTTTTTGAACGATAGGGTTAGGGGGGAAATCGATTCTAGGTTTTTGAACAATCGATTCTGGGTTCGAGAAGGATAGGGTTAGGGGGAAATCCCTGCTTTTGGATAGCGGGTGTTGGATTCTTGCTTTTCTTTCCGCTGGGTTTTTGCAGGGAGATGACGACGGGAGGAGTTGCCGCATGGGATTGTTTTTGGCGTCGGAGTGCTGCTCGCCACCGGCGTCGAGTTTGCCTTCTCTGTCTCTGGTGAGAACAAAACAGAGACAGAGATTTCCATCGGATGCTATGAGCTAGAGGGAGATATGGGTTTGGGTTGGGGTCGGTGTTGGAAGGAGAGGGAGAGGAAAGAGTTCTTCGACGGCGAGTGGTGGGAGAAGAGTGGATGAATTTTTTTTTTGTCATTTTTTATTTATTTTTAAATTAAAAAATGACATCGCAAGTATTGTTATATGACATGGCAAGTATTGTTGAGTTGTCAATGATGTGTCCGGTGAGTTGGCAGCCAGGTAAGCGTTTGGTTAATTTGACTAACAGTGTTATTGACGTCGTCAAACTATGTAACGGAAATGGCTATATTTGTCATCGAACTTTCAAAATTCTGGCTATTTCTGGTATTTCTCCAAAAGTGGCTATATTTGTCACAAACGTCAAAGTTTTGGCTATACAAGTGAATTTGGCCTTATAAAAATTAGAGGAAAACCATCGAAATTTGTGCTATTTTGTAGCAACGTCTGAAGAAAGTGCGACACAAAAAAGAGCGATATAACAACCAAACTGGGGCTGCTGCCAATTGTTGGTTGTTTCTCCGGGGGTCAAAAGTGTAATGCTCAAGAATTCAACGGTTACAACTTTTTTTTTGACAAAGGGCACAAGCCTTTCATTGAAAAATAGGCAAAAGCCAAAGGTTACAGAAGGGGTGAAATAACATCAAGGATGAATGCATTCACTTGCCAGCAGGTTCCGCGCGCTGGACCTAGCCACCCAATTAGCTTTGGAATTAAGCTTCCTATTAATCCATTCAAATCTAATGCCGGGATGGTCACTGACAATCTGCTTGATACGTCCAAGCAAGCCGCCGCCCGTCACGGCCAAAGACATGGCTGAGCCTGAATCGCCTTCACCAAGATCAGGCAATCCGAGCGAACAAGGCACATAGCATGAAGATCGACAGCTAACAAGGACCCCTTCAGTAAAGCTTTCGCTTCTGCCTCAATCGGTGAGAAGCAGTGCAAGGGCTCAGCCTTCCCTTCAACCACTTGACCATGATCGTTCGTAATAACGACGCCATATGCCGCCTCCTGGGAATCTTGAAAAAATGATCCATCACAGTGTATCTCAAAAGCATGAGTACTCGGCGGTGGTGAAGAGAGATCAGGGGGTGGAACAGGCTGAGGGTGGATAGAAGTAGTTCTCTTCTTAGGGCAGGATCTCCAATGATGGACAACCTCCATAGCTCGAGCAACCGTTGCAGTAGGCCACAGGACCTTGATGAAAGAAACGCGATTTACATCTTCCACAACGGCGACGTTTCTATCCCAGAGCCACACGACGAAGTCTCGGACTCGCTGCGTCTAAACTCCACACGACGACGTCTCGGACTTCAAACGTCTCTGTTCAGCATCGTCCTTCTAAGTCTTTCGCTCTGAACAAAAGAGATCGATTCACTCAACCCTAGCCTCCCACCTACGAGGAGCGAAAGGAAAGCTCAAATCAGTTCGTCGGTGATGAAGCACAGACATCACCGACAATCCACTAAGAAATGATGAAGATCAGTCAGGCACAAATCTCGCGCAACGGTCAAAGAAGATTTCTAGGTATAAATAGATTGTTGTCTGTTAAATTAAAACGCGACTGTGATAGCGAGAGAGAGAGTTAGGAGAATTCTTAGTCTATCTTGAGTCCGTTTGTAGTTCTCTTCAGTAGCTTGATTCACAGTGGTTATTCTGGGTGAACTAAGCTTGGGAAGAGTGTCTTTGTTTGTGTGTCTTCAAAAGTGTCAACTCAGTTGGCTTGACACAGAGTGATTTAGAAATTTCTTCGTGTAATTCCTTTTTCGATCAATAAGATCAGTTTGTTCATTGTGTTCCAGCCAAACATTTGGGTCTAAAAACCAATAATTGGTATCAGAGCTGGGTCTTTGAAGGATTAAACTTCGCCAAAGACGATCAAGGACATGGCTGGAGTCATGGCTGCCTCAGCCTCTTATTCAGCAAATACCAATCCACCATGGTTCGACGGCACGGACTACACAGTTTGGAAAAAGAGAATGAGGATTTACCTGCGAGGTGTCGACGGCGGATTGTGGGCGATTGTCAAGAATGGGCCAATTCCTATGGACGACGAGGAAGAAGAAAACTGGAAGGATGATCAAAAGTTGTCATCTCAACAGGACTCGAGGGCAATGCATATCCTTTTTTCTATTCTTAGTCCAGAAGAAAGGAGTCAGGTGGCCCAATGTGAGACAGCCAAAGAGATTTGGGAGTCTCTTGAGACTACCCACGAAGGTACGTCAGAAGTGAAAGAAAGTAGAATAGATGTACTATTAAATGAATATGAATCGTTTGAAATGAGCACTGGTGAGACTATCACCAGTATGTACAAAAGGTTCAACGATCTGATAAATAGATTAAAAGGTTTAGAAAATACATTTCCAACTAAAGACCTAGTTAGAAAGATTCTGCTAAGTCTCCCTAGAGAATGGCTACCTAAACGAACAGCTATAGAAGAAGCAAAAGACTTAAATGTTTTATCAATTGAAAGGCTTGTTGGTTCTCTACTAAGTCATGAGGAAGTTATAGTTCAGATGAATAGAGAGGATAGTAGAAGAAAGAAAGTAATTGCTTTCAAGGCACAAGACTTTGAAAGTGAGTCAGAATATGAAATAGGAGAAGAGTTTGAGAGGGAATTTGCCATGATCAGTAGAAAATTTCACAAAATGCTAAAAATGAAAAGAGACTTTGATGATAGAAGAAATCGTGGAAGTTCAAGA